GCCCCCCCGCGCCGCCTTTTCCTTCTTTCTTTCTCTCTCTCTCTCTCTTTTTTTTTTCTTTTGGGGAATTGGGAGCTGTGGCTTCGCCCCACGCCCAGTGGGGGAGGGGAGGGGGAGGGGTTGGGGTCGCGGTCTGCTGGGGGCTAACCCGGCTGTTATTTTTAGCTCCGCGGCGGGCGCAAGAGCCGAGGGGAGCGGGCGGGGGGCGCGTTTTGGGCTGCTCGGGGCGTGCAGCTTGGGTAAGCGATCCCAAGTTTGCAACGACACAGTCCTGCGGTGATCCGGCCGCCAGCTCCCTGCCCCGCGGCCCCCTCAGATACCCATCCCCTCCGCGGACGCCGCCGACACCCCCTCCCCATCCTCGGTCGCAGCCCCGCCCGCGTCCGCGCTGCCGGAGCGCGCCCGCGGCCGGGACGCTCAGTCTGTCTGCCTGTCTGTCTGCTCGTCTGTCAGTTCGCGTCGCGTTCCCCGGCTTGGCCTCCGTTCCTCCAGCAGCCCCGAGCTCCATTTCGGTCACTCCCTCGCTCCCTCCTTCCCCTCCCCCTTCACTCTCTACGAAAACATTTGCAAGTTTCCAAAAAAGCCACGGAGAAGAGCGGCGCGGGGTTGGCGGCTCCACCGGGCTCCGAGGAGGCGCCGCCGATGGACACCGAGACAGCCCAGCCTCCCCCGGCTCCCGCCCGGGTCAGGCCGGGAATCATCCCTACTCGACTCTGGCCCCCCTGCCCTCGGCGCCGGCCCCCAAACCCGACTTACTCCGAGCGCGCCGCCGCGGCCCCCGCCTAGCCATGGATGTCGGGGATCCCCCGACAGTCTCCCCAGGACAGCGCCCCGTCCGCGGCCCCGGGGGTACTTCATGGAGCTCTCGGGATCCCCCCTAGCCGGCCTGGACTCCAGCGCCCCCCGCCCGGCAGCAGCTTGGAGCCGCCGCCCGCCGCGCGCGTCCCTCGCCTCGGCGTCTGCCGCTCCCCCTCCCCCCGCGGCCCGGGCGCCTCTTCCCTCCCCCGCGCCCTCCCCGGGCCTCTCCCGCCCCCGCCCCCCCGACCCCCCCGTCGTCACCGACCGGGGTGTGTGGAGGGGCAGAGCGGAGCCCTCTGCACCCCTCCCTGAAACATTTCTCTAGGGGCCGAGGGGTCACCCAGCGGCGGGATGTGAGTGTTGAGAGGATGAGGCCCTGGGAGCTCTGACATCGCGGTCCGGGAACGTGGCCCGGGACGCTGCCGCGGCTTAGTTCACTTCTCTGCGGAGGCACAGACGTTATTTTTTTCCTGATCGTCCGGCCCGGGCCGGCGAGTAAGGGTCCTCGGCCGCTAAGCTGGCCCTCTCCACCGGAGGTAGCCTGCGGTCCCCTGGGCGCGGCGCTGTCCGCCCGCGGGACTCCTGCTTGGGCTGGCCCGGGGCGAAGGGGGGGGTCCCCTGGGAGGTTGCTCGGCCGCAAGCCCCAAACCGGGCTTTGCCACCGCCCTCCTGCCCCGCCCCGCTCCACCCTCGCCTGGACCCCCAGCCCCCCGTAACCTCCCGAGTGGGTCGGAAGCTTTGCGCCCTAGATCCGCCCCTGCCAGTCCCATTCTTTCCCTCGTTCCCAGGGTCCGGGTCTCCAGGAGTCCCGACCCTTCCAGACGCCAGCCGGGCCTCTCTCAGAGCTCCGCCCCGGACTCCACCCGGGCCGACTCGGTACTGCGAGACCCGGGACTCAGCCAGGACCCCCGACCCTCGGGCGTGGCTTTCTTCTCCCACCCCTTTGTACTCCCAGACACCCTTAGCCGCCTCTCCCCACCAGGGTCTCCTCATCTTGCTAGGGGGGATAGAGGGAGGAGTCTTCGCGGGCGGGGCGGGCTTGCGTGCTCCTGCCTGAGAGGTGACGCCTGAGCTCCAAGAGGAGTGTTAGCCCAAGGACCCCAAACCTACCCCACATCTCCGTACCCCGCAGCCGGTCCGGAGCTGAGGGGCAGAGTGCCTGGGGATGTCTGGAGCCGAGGGCTGTAAGTATGGTCCGGAGGAAGCTAGTGAGGCAGCGGGGGGCCACAGGAAAATGAGCTGCATTAAGTGACGTTCCCAGCTTCCCACTTACCGATTGTGTGTCCTGGGCACGAGGACTGTCCTCCTGGCTGGGCCTCAGGCTCCTCATCTGTAAAATGGGGAGCTGACCGTTTTAGTCCAAAGGCAGTTTTTAACCGTTTTAGTGGGTGTCCAGGACCATGGGCTCTGGGGACTCCCCAGTCTCAGCCTGAGAAACTGAACTGAGCACCTTCAAATATTTCTCCCCATCACCATTTGGGGTGACTTCTGCTCTCAATGTGAATGGGTCTCCACACTCAAGCCCTAAGGCCACTGGAATCCTGCCAGAGCCAACCTTCCTGAAACCCATTCTCCTCTGGACTCAGACTCCCAGAGGGTCCCTAGTGGTCCCTAGTTCCAGTACCCTCAAGTGTCCCTTGTCCTAGTGTTTGAGGACTATACTGTATGAGGCAGTTTCTTCCAAAGATGACACTCTCCAGCAGGTCTTGTTGCTCTACCATATTCACCTCCCTACCTTTGCCTTTGTAACTTTCTCTGCTCTGACCACACTTGTAAAGGACACCCTGCCTTCAATCTGCCTGTTCTGCTCCCCACTCTGTCTCTGGTGAATCTTCTCAAGCCTCCCACCCCCCACAATTCTAGCCTACAACCCAGCTCTTGTATGCATAAATACGTCTTTTTTTTTTTTTTAAGGGACACCCCTGCCTCTCTGTATCCCCATCCCCTTCTTTACCTGAGTGGAGGAGGGCTGCCCCCTGTGGTGGGTTCATTGGGAACAGGGATACAGGCCCAGGTACTCAGAGTGGGCATCTAAAGAACATTCTTAGCTCTTCAATGTTGTATTTTGATGGCCTCAATTTTATATCCCTGTTTCTAAGTGATTCTAAATTTTAAGGTTGGATGACTGCTGACCATCCCCCCCAGCCCTTGCTAATGAGAAAACATTCATGCAGCGATTAGGGGCACTAAGAAGTAAAGCTAGGGGTAATAGGGATCCCCTTCTTAGATCTAACATCAGAAAGCTCAAGATTTGGAAGCCATATTTGTTCTTGGGAAGATTAGCTTGGGGGTAGGGTACAGAAAGGGGCCTTATGGGCTCTGGTACCCTTATGGTGCTCCCCCAGTCATAACTCATGTCCCTCATTCCACAGTCCACTGTTGGACAGTCCACCATTGTGGGTGGGGCCACTGATCCCCTAACTCACCCTGAGGCTTCTGGTTAAAGTACCACCATGGGGGTGGGGTGTCACATATTAACTGGTGCAAGCACCCCAGTGCCTGGCATAGCCAGTGCACGCTCTTTTTGACAAGCAAGCCCCAGGGCCCAGGGTCAGTTTCTGGTCAGTTCAGGTCAGTTTCAATGGCCTTGGAAAGGCCTGCTTGGGGGTGGGGACTGGCAGTGAGTCCCTGTGGGGGCTCCCTCTCTAGTCCCTGGAGCCCAGGGGAGGAGCCAAGGAATCACTGGAGCTCAGAAGTGGAGCAGGGGCTGGACTCTGATGCAGCAGCCCTAGGCTGACAGGCCTCTGCTGCCTCCATGCCACCTTGAGTAGGGCTCTGGCCAAGGTACACAGGCCTGGAGGCCAGGGTGGACAGCAGACACAAACAGGAAAGACACAGATTCTGCTCTCAGAGCTCTGCCCTTTGGAATCACTCCTTCAGAAAAATCTCTTGCCTCAGCCTGGGGGGCAACTCGCCATTTTGTTCCCCTAACCCTAGGGGGCTACAAAATCTGCTGGAATAGCCATCAGACCCCAGACTGAGTTTTATCCCCAGGTGGAGTCCTTATCCCAGCCTGACCTCTAACCCCTGGCTGAACCCTGACCTCTGGCTGAGTCTCGTCCTAAGCCCAAGCCTGTCTCCCAGACCTCTCTCAGGTTCCAGGCTCCTCTGGAAGGTTTTCCCGGCCAGGGGCCGGTAGGGGAGGGGATGGCCAGGCCATAAGTGAACTGAGGTGCCACTTTTACAGCCATTTCGGCTGCTCATAAACACCCCCTGCCCGGCTGAGTCACTGGAGGCTCCCACACACAGCTGGTCAGGCAGCCCCCTCCCCTTGCTGCAGGAAGCCTGGCTTTCTCACCTCTCAGGAAGGTAAAGGAAGGGAAGCTAGGGGAGCAGGGGTGCTCCCAGGCCAGGCGTTCTCCCAGGGCAGTTGGGGGCGTGGGCTTCCTGTCCCCTCTGATCACATGGTCACCTGCAGAATTCATAATAGATTCGCAAATGTGTCCAAACAGACATACCCTGTCAGCTCCATGGCACAGGTACACACCACTCACACAAAGGCGTATCACAACCTTGCCCCTCCCAGTTGTGCTCCAGTCCCAGGGCTCCTCCAGACCCCTCTTACCTGGCTCATACAATGCTTTCCAAGAAGGGCCTGGAGCCACAAAACAGACTCAGGTTGACCCTGGGGAGGCCATGGGTAGCCCTGAGCAGCTTCTTTGGTTCAGTCCTAAGCAAATATGTTGTTGTTCAGGACAGGAAAAGGCCTGAGTCAGAGATTTCACTGGGAAAGAAAATTAATTATTTGTTACCAAGCCCTGCACTAGCCCAGGACTTTGTCCCAGATCCCAGGTAGGGAAGCAAGTCAGGTCCAAGACTACCAGTATCTGGGTGCCCTGCTTGGGCCCTAACTTCCCTTGCTCCCCACCCTCCATAGGTCTGTCTGCCAGGTGCACAGGTCAGCTCAGCTCGCCAGGTGTGTGTGTGTGTGTGTTTGCATGCAAACATATCAGTGGTTCTTGCCTTGCCAAGTCTCTCTCCAAACAAC